GTAAGCAGCTCGAACTGCTCACCGTCAGCTCGATGAGTGACTGGGACACCAGAAGAAGTTCGCTATTGGCGATCCACTTCCTCAACGGGAAGTCTCCTGCTCAACAAACACTCTCAAGCTGTTGCCGCAGGAAAGAGCAGTTGGAATCGACGGGGCACCGGTGAGGATATCGTCCATGTAGACATCCTCTCGCAGCACGCGAGCCCCAAGCGGAAACCTCTCTTCTTCGTCATTAGCCAGCTGTTTTAATGTGCGGATAGCGAGAAATGGCGCAGAAGCAAGGCCGCAAGTAATGGTGTGCAACCGATATTCCTTCACCTCACCATCGGCACGCCACAAAATCCTCTGAAGATCGCGATCGTCTGGATGCAGCAGAATTTGACGATACATTTTCTCAATGTCTGTAACGAACACGAACAGGTGCCGTCGCCAAGCAAGCAGCATATCAGCGAGTTTCGGCAGAAGGTTAGGGCCGACCTTGAGAAAGTTGATCAATGCTTAATCGTTACTTGTACGCTGCGAACCATCGAATACCACATGCAGCTTTTTAGCTTCTCCGGATCCACGAGAAACGCCATGGTACGGCAGGAATCATAGTTGGCTGTCTCCTTGACGCTCGTCGGAGAGAGCCGCGCTCATGTGTACAAGAGACTCGTATTCGCGCATGAAGTCCTCGTATTATTCTCTGAACGTAAGCGTGCGAGCGGAACGTTTTTCCATGGCGAAAAGAGAGCGCTCAGTCTGCCGCCGTGTGTCGCTCAAATCAGGAATGTGGTTTGCGAGTGGTAGCCGTACGACGTATCGTCCTCCAGGTCCCCAGAGTGCGTGGCCTCGAAGTGCTCCAGACACGACTTTTCCTCGGAGGTGCCGAGGGGAGCCGAGTTCTGCGGAACCTTCTCCAACTCCCAGAATTGACGCACGCGGGCGGGCAGCTCGTCATCGATCGAGCACTGTAGCGCGGAGACGGAGGAGCGGTGGGTAGTGCCGACGCTCTCCCCTATCACGACACAGCCGAGACGTGTGCGGAATGCGACCGGCCCCCCGGATCCTCCCCTTCGCACACCGTCGAGGATCAACTCCGAGAAGGCTTCCGCATCGAAGATTAAATCAATTGCGCCTTGATTCAAGTAATCTGGATCCGCCAATTTGATGTTGCGAAGATGCGGCCACGATTTGCCAGAGACACAATATCGCTGGCCATAGGATGTCAATCGTGGCAGTACATAGGCTTGCACTCGCAGAGCTGGCGTCCCGAAACGTGAAATGACCGACACGCACACTCGCCCACGAGTTGAGCCAGAACTCACTCCTCCATTCCGGTGATGGAGAGGGTCGAGGAAGTCCGCGGCAGCCTTAAGCGCTGAACAAGCGCCTCGCCGATCAGTGAGGTCTCGGAGCCGGGGTCAAGAAGCGCCCGTGCCACGAAGTGATCCCCGAGATGTCCCACGACTTTGACGCGCGCGGTGGCGAACAACCGTCCGCTGAGCTCTCCGAGTGGACAACGAGCTACGAGAGCCGAAATGCTCGCGCTCGCCTCTCCGCGCTCCGTGCCCGCGGACGCGTCATGCATTGCGTTATGATGCCTATCGCCGCATCGAACGCATGATTTTGATGAGTTGCACGCGCTGACGGGATGCCTACTCAGACAGTTCAAGCACAGGCTGTGCTTCTCGATTGCGTTCCTACGCTCCATGGCTGACCGCGACTTAAATATGTCACAAAATAAAATGTAGTGCGACTTGGGACACAGTGGACACCGTCCGCGAGATGATTCCTGCGAGTTGGCGTGCAACGCTCTTGCCACCCGCCCCGATCCGACGTGTTTTGAAGCGCTCGAATCGATCTTATCCACGCACAAGGCGTCTAAAGTACGCTGCTTACGCTCCAGAAAATTGAAAAGCTGATCGTATGACGGAGGATCAGAAGAGCCTCCAACATGGTTCTCCCACTCACGTCTGGTCTTTGCGTCCAGCATCTCCACCACCAGGTGCACGAACAGATCGGAGCAGTCCGAAATCGGTCTTCCCACACCTTCCAGGGAACCCACGAGATTCATCATACCGTGGAAGACCTTCCGAAGATCGACGACGACTGTGACTTCATTTTCGGCAGAGAGGTGAAAGCGCTGAAGAATGCAGTCACCAGCACCCGCTTGTTTTGGAAATGATTGGTGAAGGTCGCCCAAGCTCGGACAAAGTTGTCACCGACCACTGGGAGGCTGCGTATCAGCAGCTCAACATCACCCTTGATGCACATTTTCAGATAGTGCAGCTTTTCTATTTCTGAAATAGATCCGTCAGATATGACCATTGAACGGAATAGATCCCGAAAGGCAGGCCAATCCTTTGATTTGCCGGAAAATTGCGGCAGCGGGATGCGTGGCAACGATGATCTAGAGCACGAACCGTCCGACGGACAACTGCGAGGCGCTTCTGCCGCCGTCTTCTTAATCGAGAGAGATTGCTCGATTTTGAGTAGCGAGGCACGCTGCTGCAGATAGATATCTTCCACTTTCCCGATAGTGTTGCACCGCATGTAGTGATAGTGCTGCAGCTCGGAGTGGAAGTTCGAGCGCAACAGATCATGGCGTTCTTCGAATTTTTCCCGCTTCTTATCCAGAAGACTGGTTGATTGCACTAACGCCGAGGTAATCTTCCACGCACCAGCCTTCTTCAAATTGTCGGTGGTGCGAGCAATGCGGTCGCAAAGTTGCGACTGAGCGCTGATGAGCAACTCGTTAGCAGCCGAAGAAACCAGGATATGTCAAACGAACACTCGTTTCACTAAGTTACCGGAGCGCAAGCAACGCAGGACCCGGCTCGAAGAACCAATGTTCGCAATGTATACGCACTTTTTAAAGAAGAAGTAAAGGGAGGTGATTGACTGCCGTCACGTTAAACAAAACAATAATTTAATAAACAAAAGTTTAACTGGCATCCGACCGATATTCCACCGAAGAGCGCTCTTACAAGAAGTGGTACAAGAAGTATCGCCGAAAGTCGAGGAAGAAGTGACAATTTCATCTTCTCTAGCCTTCGATATCTTATCTCACTGATTCCTGATCGATACGGGAATCAGGCCCGTGTATAAGAAATCGCGATTATGTCGAGACAATATACACTCAGACTTAATGTTCGCGGTTTTTCTACACATCATCGCATATCAACACATAATGTTGAAGACAAGGTCTAGGTTTAGATTCTAAGCGAAGTTGTAATAACACATTAAAGATTATAGCGCCCCGATATACACAATTTTAGAAAGCGGCCGAAATCGAGATTCGTTACGAACCAAAAAAAAAGAAAGAAAAAAAAAGAAAAAAAAGAAAAAAAGAAAGAAGAAAAGAAAAAAACAAAAAAAGAAAGAAAAAAGAAAAAAAACAAAAAAAGGGGTTACAGAGGGGTTACAAAAACTCTAAAGAAATTGACCGATTTTTGAAAAAAAATTTGTACAAGAGAAAATTTTTTTAGAAATTTGGCATCTGCGATACTTCGATGAGCTAGAACTCTTTCATTTTTGCTCGAATCGATTTAAGTCATGAGGAAAACCTATAGAACTCTTTCGGGGGCTACTAGAACTCTAAAGAAATTGACCGATTTTCGAAAAAAAATTTTCTCTTAGAAAATTCTGCATCAGCGATATTTTGATGAGCTGGAACTCTTTCATTTTTGCTCGAATCGATCTAAGTCATAAGGAAAACCTATTGTAGTTTTCGGGGGGCTATCAGAACTCTGAAGAAGTTCACCGATTTTCGAAAAAAATTTTTCTCCTAGTTGGATAAAAAATTCGGCATCGACGATACTTTGATGAGCTGAAAATCTTTCATTTTTGCTCGAATCGATTCAAGTCATAACAGATAGAAAACCGATAGAACTCTTCGTGGGGGGGGCTACTAGAACTCTCAAGAAATTGACCGATTTCCGAAACAAATTTTTCTCCTAATTGAACTTACAATAAGACCAATTAGAAGAAAATTTTTTTTCGAAAGACGGTCAATTTCTTTAGAGTTCTGGTAGCCCCCCGAAGAGTTCTATGGATTTTTCTTATGCATCAAAGCACTAAAGTTGAAGGTAAAAAAGTTATGGCCTTTTAAATTTACGCAATTGTGAAGTTAGCTCCCCCATAACTTTATTTCGTGTTTTGATCACTTTATTCAACGGAATTTTTTTTTTATTGATAGAGAACTCTAGAATTCTTTGGAGGGCAATCAGAACTCTGCTAATTTTTTTCAAATTTTGAAAAGGTAGGATTAACTTCACAGAGGTTGCAATCCCGCAAAGCAGAATCCCGCATCATTTTTTGATCTCGCATATGTTAAATGGGAGCTGCAGGATCCCGCCGGATTTTGTGAGATTATGTGCGTAAACTTCCATGCTGCCTAATTAATATCCCCGCTCCGAATACTAACTAAAGGCACCAACGTTTCCTATAGTAGTCTACGGCTTTAGTATACGATACCAATCACGGAAACACATCTAAACGAGTCACATGGCAGAAACGCATTTGAACGAGTCTTGACGACGTATGCGCAGAGATAGCATGCACATGCACGCGACTTTCGTTTGTTACGTTTCCCTTACACCGTGAGCCGCGAAGAAGAGAATAATAGTTTAAATAGTTTAAATAAGTTTAAATATTCAAGATAAATAACCCAATTTATCCTTACAAGAAGAATTAGAATATAAATTATAGAATGATCATTCCGAAATAATTGAATCAGAGGATTTATCAGAAAATATTGATAAAATTTTAAAGAAAGAAATGAGTGTCTTTAAAGGCGATGGCATAAGAGGAAAATATTTACGTATGGCTTACGAATATTTATTAACTGTTACCCCCACAAGTGTAGAGGCTGAACGAGCTTTTTCCGCTGCAGGATATCTTTGTAATAATTTGAGGAGCAGTCTGGGTGATGAAACACTTAACCCTTTAACTGCTGAAATATTAAATGACCAGTATGACCCTCTTTGCTGAGTTATTTTTACAATTATAAAATATTTTATAATGATATAAGATCATGCAAAAATGTTCATAAATGTTGTAAAAACTTACTATGTATGATGTAGATGTTTGCTGATGATCCAGATTTTCACAAATTCACATTTTTTAATTAAAAAAAATGCCTTTCCCTTAGTTTGAGGGGTTCGTCACCCTGTGAGGGTCTTCCAGATATAGTGGTCCGTCTTGGCACATGGAACTTCTGAAAAATTTCTCTGATGAGAATCAGTTGGAAAATAGCATGTGTAATATTTTCACCAGTATGTACATTATACAAAATATTTGAGTTTAGAACAGTGAGATCCAAGAGTCAATTTTACTTTTCCGCGCAAAGCTTGAAGCTCGGATATTAACTCCCGAGATAAGCGAGGCAAAGTCAACAGCGTCAAATAACCCGTCAGCAAACGACGTTTGTTATCGTAACGATCGGATAACATTCGCCATGCGCCTGGGAAGTTATCTGCTGTAACAGCGAAATCAGCGAGACATTCGAGAGCGCGACCACGAAGAAACGAAACTAAGAAGTGCATTCTCTTTCAGCGTACGGAAACAAGCAGAACAAGGAAAAAAGTTAAAAAAATATATAAAACAAAAAATATAACAAAATATAAAAGGATAAGACAAAAAAAACAAAAATATAGAAAATATAAAAAATTAAATACATAAAATGGAACCAATATCTCGTCGTATCCTCGTTGCGGTTTTGGGTTCGGCAGAGATTAATAGAAGCAAGAGTTTAAATCAATTTGCCTTTCTGTTATGTAGCAGTGTAATAAGATTAACAATTTATCTAATGGGAGGCTAAGTCGGTTTATAGAGTAGCATTGTAAAACGATTAATAGTTTAGGTAATGAAATGTTAAACGAGTTTCCTAATTAAACACTATTTAACCCCCCATCCCTCCTTCCAGGTCCATATACACACACACCCTCTCCCCTACAAACGCACACACACACACACATGTACAACCCTCGTTATCCCCCTCTTTAACCGTCCTCTCCATATATAAACACGTCGGATGCATTTTTGTTTTGTGGTAGTTCCTTTCAGCCAATTTCATATTACCTACCCAAGCCCCCTCCCCCACACACAGTTGATTACACCTTCCCTTGCACATACATACGTATGTGCAAGGGAAGGTGTAAGCAATTATGTATTACGATGCTATTTTCTAGGCGCCGGCAAACTCCCGCCAGTCCACGCGTCACGGCCCTTCACACATACCAAAGAAACGACAGTTGTGGGCCAGATGTGAATAGCCGCACCATTCACCAACGCTAATCGCAAAAAAAAGTGTGACCGCGACGCGGGATTCCGACGGGACCGGTAGCTCGGAGCGGTTTTAAGTCGGTAGACGAGATGAGTTCGGCCGGAAATTGGGAAAGCATAAAGAAAGATAACGAGCGGCGTTCTGCAGGTTGAGATCACAATTTATCGTCGCGGGGATCGGCACGCTTCGAAATTCCGCGGGACGATACAAGTTTCCTCCGCTCTTTCCCGCGAAATCGATACTGCTCGGCGCGACACAATTTCTTTTCGGACAGGACACGTAAAAAAAAGCGGGACATCGAAAATGACAGCAGGTGGTTGATCTTACAAAATCAGGAACCTCCTGGCGGCGTAGTCTTTGCGGGTCGTCGGACGGTTTGCTCTCTCCTCTCGGACGCAGGTCCCGGCAGTCGGATCGTGCTCGATAGTCCGGGGGTGGCGACTTCGGCACAAGGTCGTAGCATCTCTTCCCTCGGGAGCGAGAGGGTCACCCAAACTTGTTTTTTTTTCGAGAGCGGGACATCAAAATCTCTCCGTCGAGAGCGGAACACAAGAAGAAATCTCTTTTTTCGTAGCAACACACGAATCTAATCTGCCTCTTCTCGCGACGAAAGCTGATCTGCCTTTTCTTTTTCCGCACGAAAAACGGAATCTCTCTTTCTTTTGTTTCCCTCTTTCGGGAGGGGTTCCTCTCTCCCCGTTCTTCGCTCTTCCGACGGGACAGGAATCCTTCCGCGGATCCGTATTGTTGATGCGCGTTACGTATGCCCTCTCTCTCTCTCTCTCTCTCTCTCTCTTTCTCTCTCTCGGCCTCTGTCTCGCTCGTTGTTCCGCGAGCATTGTCTTCGGGTCCGTCTAGCCGCTGTTTTTCGGCGAGCGGCCACGCGCCGTGGTCGTGCTCGACGGTATCCCGCTTCACTCGTTCCGTCTCCTTCCGTGTTGTCATCGTTGTTGTCACCGGCGGGAGACGACTACCACCCAGGGAGCCGTCGTGCAGGAGATCCCGCCCATGGTGGACGCCTCCAACCAGACGCACAAGTCAGTACAAGTCGCGCACTACATGCAGACGCAAAAGCAAACGGAAGACTGGTGGGACCTCTGAGAGGACTTGCTGATGCAGTCCAGGCAGCAGGCCGCCGACGAATTCAGGGAGTGTCGCTTGCCTGCCGAGAGGACAACAAATACGGCAGCGATAATCTCTTTCGGGACGGCATAAAATTTCCTAATACGAAAAGAGAAACGAGAGCAATCACCTGATTGTGCCGTGTCTGATGATGAGCGACGTCCGATGAATTCTTCCTGCTCCTGATGGTCGGCTCGGAAGGTCCAGGGGCACAAAACTGTGGGACGCGAGACCGTCCACCTGCACGCTCGTAACACTAACGATTATATCAATTAAGAGGGGTTTTCGGGGAGTTAATTCGGACTTCCCATAAATCGCACACCAAGTTCTTACATCCCTTCCTGCGTCGCGACCGATGGTTTGCATACTGGTGACGGGCGCCACCACGACTGTCACGTCACAGCTCCCCTCTCCCCGGAAAAACCTGAAAGGTCTTGTCGCGATCCACGCCGCCGATCGTCCACCTGCTGTACCTCCGGTCTCTCTCGCGAGTCTCGGCACGAAGTAGCCGACTAGAGTCACTGACAGAGTCCTCGATATTCTCGTGGGTTTGTAGGGAAAAAAGGGGGGGGGAAGGAAAGATAAAAGCGTTTCGAGCTTACTTTGTCGCTTTATTCAGGATACACAAAAAATTCCCGTAATCACAAAAGAACCAAAAAATTCGAAAGAGGAGAAAGGAGAAAAAATAAGAAAAATAGAAAAATAAAAAAAGATAAAAAAAATTCCTCTCGGAAACGATACGCGGGACCGGCCCGCGGAAGCGGTATCTCTCGGCTGGGTGTCCCTTTACCTCTTCCTCCGGAATTCCTCATAGCAACGAGAACAGTCGCTAAGACAGGTCCCCGGCTCTCCGCACAGGCGGCAAATATTGATATGCCGGTTCTGCATACACGCGGAGTACCGGTGGCCGGGACTGTCACAATTCCAGCAGCCTCCTCCCTGCACGCGTGATCGCAACGTTCTAGTCGTCGTCGTCCCTCGTTGCGAAGTGGTGACCTTCGAGGCTGGCGATGCCGCGGATCTCGGGCTGGGCAGGGCGGATCCCGGGCTGGGCAGGGCGGATCCCTTCCTCTCGACAGGCAACTGACGATACTCCCTGGATTCGTCGGCGGCCTGCTGCCTGGACTGCATCAGCAAGTCCTCGCAGAGGTCCCACCAGCCTTCCGTTTGCGTTTGCGTCTGCATGTGGTGCGCGACTTTTACTAATGAGTGCGTCTGGTTGGAGGCATCCACCATGGGCGGGATCTCCTGCACGACGGCTCCCTGGGTGGTAGTCATCTCCCGCCGGTGCGTCTCCCAGATGTCGCGAAATCCCGTCCAGAAATCCGGGTGGTCCTGGATGATCCGGAAAATTTCCCGGTACCGGCGACGGAAGTTCTCCCACTGGCGACGGGTCTCCGACATCGTCCTTTCTTCTCCTCGCGATACGGTACGGTAACTCTACAAGAGAGGCAAGAGTTCCACGTATGGTTTTAATTCTTTTACGTGAACTTTTTCGAGCGGCTTCCCGTCCAGTCGCACGAGCTCACACACCACCGCCGACCGCACTCTAACGATCTTAAGCGGCCCGTCGTACTTGGACGCTAGCTTGGCGGCCGTGTGATGAGCTGCGGACGAGAGTACGTGTTGTCGCTTTCGCACCAAATCGCCCGTTCTATGTGTAACGGGACGCTTCCGTAAATTGTACCGCGCGGACTGTCGTTGGTACGCCATTTCCAGATTTCTAGAATCTCGTTCTCCTTCGCGAATTGCTCGATCTCTTTATTCACGAACTCGGTACCGTTATCTGTCAGCAACACCTTCGGTGTTCCCCAGCGCGAGATTACTAAGTCGTCGAGAGCTGCCCGTATGAGCTTTCCTTTCGCGCTCCGCAAGGGCCGGCACTGCATCCATTTTGAGAATAAATCCTGAATCACTAAAAGATAGGAGTAACCGGCCCGGCTGCGCGGTAATGGGCCCATAATATCGGCAACGACCACTGTCCAGGGTTTTTCGACAACTCTTCGTCCCATCAGGCCGGCAGGGGCTTACTGGTTAGGGTACTTCTCCTAGCCTCTGTCCCCGCGCCCCCGACTCGAGCGGTCGTCCCTGCCAATCGACGCGTCGTCTCTTCGGCGCGTGGACGCTCGCTCTCGATACGCGTCTCTCGCCCCGACGCACGGGAATTCGTTATCTGCTCGGCCGTCATGGTTGTAGACGGCTGAGACGAGCGCGGCGGCGGCCGGTAAGCGAGATCCGGACACACGGATCTCTAGGGAGGCGGCAATGCGCGATATTGGCTCGCGGACGCGTAACTTCTTTCGACACGAGTGGCGAACCTCTCCAACGCGTCAAAGTTTTCGAAGTCGTCACGGTGCACGGCGATCTGTAACTTCGGGAGCATATGTCGGTGCGCGTAATTTAATTGCTCGACCTCACTCCACGGAGGGTCGAGCTGGCTGAATAGCCTGAGAATACGAAACACGAAAAACGAGAAGCTGCGCGAGACGTATCTTCGCTAAAAAAAAACCGTAACGTCTCGATATTCGCTGCGTTCTCGGTTCCCTTTGTTCTTAAAATTTTTCTCTTTTCCAGCGGGATAGCGGAAATTGACTATCATATACTCGATGCCTCCGACACCCTCTCGAGCAGCTCGGAGCTGCCCTCCCAATGGGGGATCCACCGCATCATGCTTCTGCCGTTCGCCCGTCGTCACAAACTATCGAGTCGGTCGACTCGGTCCAGAACTGCCGCTGGCCGCCCTTCTGGAAAAGCAACCCAGAGCTCTGGTTCCTGCAGGTCGAGGCCGTGTACCAGGCCTTACGAGTTCGTAGAGATGAAACCAAATACAGCCTCGCTGTCTCACTGCTCGACCCCGACACGCTGCAGGAATTGTCCGACGTCATCAGGTCACCGCCTTCCGACGGGAAATATGATCATTTAAAGGCCACGATCCTGAGCCGTTTCTCGGACTCGACGGATCGCCAATTGCTCCGCCTTCTCACTCAGCTTGAACTAGGCGACCGGAAGCCTTCACAGCTCCTGCGCCAAATGCGCACGTTGGCCGGTAGCAGAGTCTCTGACGACGTTGTGCGGGTCAAATGATTGGACCTTCTACCTGTCGGAATGCAGCGCATCCTTAAGGTCCTCAAATCGCACGACCTGGAAGAACTGGCTGCCGCCGCAGATGAGCTATTGGGAAGCGGGCTTGGTTTCTTAATTACAGAAACACACGCCTCACCAAATGTTTGCGCTTCGTGCTCGTCACCTCGAGCACCGCGGTCGCCGCCTCAACCTGACGTCGCCGCTGAGCTGTCGGCCATCCGACAGGCGCTTGCACAGCTCACTTCATCCCAACATGACGTACTTCTCCGGCTGGACACAATGATTTCTCACGAGGCCTCACGTTCCTCGTCGCGAGGGCGTCCCGAGCCGCGCGCTCGGTCGCCGTCCGTAGGACAGCGGCCAGGGTGGTGCTACCATCACCGTCGCTGGGGAACTGATGCCCAGCGCTGTATTATGCCGTGTACCTTCCGTGGTGCAGCCTCGTCGCCGAGAAACTAGTCGCGCTCGCGCCGGACCAGCCGCCGAGCGCGGAGCGCCCTTTCCGGAGAATCGGCTGCACGTCTTCGAGAGAGTGACCAGTTTCAAGTTTCTGATGGACTCCGGCTCCGTCGTCTCCTTGCTGCCAAAAACGTGAGTCAAAGGCCGACTCGCTCTTTAGAAGCTTACGCTGCTTGCTGCTAATGCCTCACCGATCGCTACATACGGAACCCACACCATGGTTCTCAATTTATCGCTGCGCCGCGATTTCGAGTGGCGTTTCATCGTCGCCGACGTCAAGACCGCAATCCTGGGAGCCGACTTTTTGGCGAACTTCGGTCGCCTGGTCGACGTCGGCGGCCGACGCCTCCTCGACTTCGTCCTCGGCCTCCTCTCCAGACGCCCTGACCTGCAGCGGCTCCCGCCGCCTTCTCCGTCGGCGCTCCTGATCTGCGGCTATCCGTTGCCTCCTCTCCAGAATGCCCGGATTTGCAGCAGCTCTCTCCGTCGGAGCTCCTGACCTGTGGCTGTCCGCCGCCTCCTTCCCTTCCTCCGGACCTGCAGCGACTCCCACCGCCTTCTTTGCCGGCGCTCCTGACTTGCGGCTTTCCGCCGCCTTCTTTCTGACGCTCGAATCTTCAGCAAGAAGACAACGAGAGTTTGTTGAAAAACAACAGCAGCTGAGTCTGTCACAAGCCATCGCCACGAGCAGACGTGATCTAGATGTTTCTTTTTAATACTATTAAGACGAGAGGATATTAGTGAGTCTGTACTCACTTATCACATATTGGAAGTAAGGCCGGTGCTAGCAGCGCATCATGTGACTCCCAGGGCTTTCAGGCTCAAGAACTTTGACACGTGGTCCCACGTGTTCAAGAGGATTGACCAGCTATAGCCTGAACTCGCTGCGGCAGGGGCTGATATCCCCGCTGGGACACTTCAAATCCGAGGTAGATGACTCGATCTCGACCGAAGACGCACTTGTCCGAGCTGCTCGAGAGGGTGTCGGTAATCAGCGTTAGCGGTGCTGAGTGCTGCAGAAAGGCGGGTGCGACGGCAGCGACGATGCTGCCTCGATGTAAGCCTCGAATGCTCTCTTCCATTCTTCCGTCCACGGCACCTCGGATTTGTCTTTTTTCTTAGCCACCTTGAAGAACTCGTGAAGGGGTGCTTGGAGTTGCGCAGCTCTCGGTATGCAACGCCGATAGAAGTTAAGCATCCCGAGAAATCTACGGAGGTCGGCTACCGTCCGAGGTAGCTGGAATTCATGGATAGCTGGAATTCATGGACGCTCGCAGGCCTCTGGAACCACCCTACACAGGGCCCCACGAGGTCGTGAGGAGAGTCAACGAGCGCACCTTCATCATCCGGATCAACGACGGCGAGAGAACAGTATCAACGGACTGCCTCAAGCCGGCTTTCATTGCCTAGGCGGACGAGGCTCGAGACCGGGAACAACCCAAGAGAGTTTCGTTCCTTTCGTCCCCGCGAGGAACTAGGGAGGGAGTGGATGTGGCGGGCCTTTCCCGCCATCTGTTGCATAGCCAGGTGACCCGCAGCCAAGCCGTCGGAAGCAGACGTTTCAGCCGAGAGCGCTCTTCTAATTCCGTTTTGTTTTTGTTCGCGACCATGTGCCGAGCACGCACGTGTCAGAAGTCGACATCGAGACACGGCACCGGACAGACCTCGTGTGAGTTCTACGCGTCGTGACTCTCGCTTCTTTTTGCGTATTCGCCGGATCTTTGAGTGCGGAGAAGTGCGCGGCTACACGCGTCTATGACGCCGTCGAGCAGTGCCGTCGCCGCATCCGAGACCGAACAGACGTCGCCGTGTGCCGGTCCTTCGGCCCCTGCGAGCCGCTACTCACGAGCTGCCCTGCTGCCCTTGTTCAAGGAGTCGGGGGCACGAGGAAGCCTACTTCGAGCGTCGCACCGTTGCGCGACGGCAGGTACGTCCTTCGCGTGCGTTTCCGCCTCTCGCCCCGCGCTCCGTCGCGGGCGAGCACCTCGCGAGTGCGATCTTTCTCCGCGTGCGTTTTCGCCTTTCGCGCCCTCTGCGTTGGGCCGCCACCGATCGAGCCGGTCATGCAGGCGCCGTGTGCTGCGCCATCGAAGCCACGTGCGCTTTCGTGTGATCACGCGTCGCGGCTGTTTTCGTTTTCGGGTACCGTTGACACGCAACGTTCACAGTATTCACGCGCAGTATTCACGCGTGTTCCAGGGCCGCCCCGTGCCGCGCCACCGCGAGCACGTGCATTCTTCGTGCGCGCTCGTTTTGCCCGCAGCGAGTGGAACCGTTGTCGCGCGCGTTTCTTTCTCTTGTGAATAATTTCGAGCTGTCGGCGCGATCACATGTCGCCCATGCTCTTGCACATCGCGCACAGCTTCTCTCCGCCGCCCAGTCCACGGCCGGCTGTCCGCGTTAACTTATAAGTTCTAATAAGTTCGTTTTCTGTGTTCAAGCGTGCCCCAGCGAGGAGTGGTAATAAAGACTCATTTTGGTGAATCGCTCGTTGATTGTGTCCCTACGCGGGGCCGTGCCCAGCTCGACTTACACGCGCCAAGGGCACGAGTGTCGTGTTCCCTATCCTATCTCCCTTGTGGGGAAAGGGCCGCTGCCTGGGAGAAGTGGTGACCCCTACATGTTATAATAAATAAGTACAGCGATAAATGTAATGATAAGTTAAGAAAGAGCTGTGATAATAAGTGTGCAACGGCGACGCGCAGCGTAGTGTAGCGACGGCAACAACGCGCGAGAAAAACAAACGAGAATCACGACGGCAGCAGGCGTCAAAACAGAGATGCGTATGCGACAATATGCGAGTTAGTTCTTCGACGAGCGGGCAGAAACAAAGAGTTGGAAGAGTCGAGTCAAGCGAGTCAACCGATATAGAGTAGCTCAACCACGACTCATAACAGAGCTGTTATGAGTCGTGGTTGAGCCGAAGCGGTATAAGTCCAAATGTCCGAATCGATATATAGCATTCCAAATACATTATATGTCATATTGATACTCGCCTCAAATAATCCCATCACCAACATAAACGCGCAACGCAATAAGTGCAATAGGAATAATAATTATGCTCTGTGGTCTCGTCTGGATGGATATTGTAGTCTTCTGTACACTCAAAGGCATCTACTACATGGGCTGAAAAGTCTTTGGCTTAACAATGAAAAAACGATTTTTTTAATGAAAAAAGTGTTTTATTCCTCGACATAATCTCCATTTAAAGTAATGCACTTAGTGTAACGGTCCGCTAACATTTCGATGCCGATCTTATAGTGCTCGGTGTCAAGTCCCTCAAAATAGGCATTTGTTTCCAACTTGACCTCCTCATTCGAGTAAAATCTTTTACCAGCGAGCCACTGCTTCAGTCGGGGAAAAAGGAAATAGTCGCTGGGGGCCAGGTTTGGAGAATACGGGGGATGCGGGACCAATTCATAGCGCAATTTCTTTAATTTATCAGTCGTATCGCGAGCCGAGTGAGCTGGAGCATTGTCTTGGTGAAACAAAATTTTTTTCTTTGCCAAATGTGGCCGTTTGACCTTGACCTCGTCGTCCAATCGATCCAGTAATATACAGTAATATCCTTTATTGATAGTTTTACCATGTTCAAGATAATCAATGAATATTATGTTATGCGCATCCCAAAAAATACTGGCCAAAACCTTGCCGGCTGATTGTTGTGTTTTCGGGCGCTTCGGACGGCTTTCACCAGGCAATAACCACTCCGCTGACTGCCGATTGGACTCCGGTGTGTAGTGATGGATCCATGTTTCATCCATTGTGACAAATCGACGCAAAAACTCCTTCTTATTGCGGTTAAACAGGACCAGATTTTGCTTTGAAAGTCGAACACGTTCCGCTTTTTGTTAAATTGTCAAAAAACGCGGCACCCAACGAGCGCAAAGCTTTTTCATGTGTAAATATTCATGAATGATATGACCAACGCGTTCCTTTGAGATGCCTATGATGTTAGCTAGCTCACTCAATTTCATTTTGCGGTCATTCAACACGATTTCACTGATTTTCTGGATGTTTTCTGGAGTAACTGCCTCATTTGGCCTTCCTGAACGTGGTGCATCATTTGTGCTCGTACGGTTACGACGAAACTCAGCAAACCAATATTTGATGGTTGAATTCGGTGGGGCAGATGTGCCGTAACATTTATCAAGCCATGCCTTTGCTTCAACAGTGTTTTTTCCCATCAGGAAGCAATGTTTAATCAAAACACGAAATTCACTTTTTTCCATAGTAAAGATAAATTCAGAGGTAACGTCACTTCGAAAGCTATAACTTGTACACGAGTCAACGAAATATCATGAAATTTTTACAGCATCTAAGTTAAGGTTGGTACTCTATAGGAAATATAAGGATTTTTAGTTTGTGGCGCCATTTATATGTCAGGCCAAAGACTTTTCAGCCCATGTAGTATGGGATGCTTACGATAACGAGAGTGGAGCGAGTGAGATCTGGATCTAGAGAGAGCAGTACATCTACAGACACTTCCATCTACAACTATAAAGGCTCGTCTACAATAGCTGTAAGAGTAAGGCTGTAAGGCTGTAACGTAAGCTGTCAGCGAATGAAAATATTTCATTTCGTGTCTTGCAACCTTACAATCTTACTCTTACAGCTAATGTAGACGAGCCTTGAAGCGTCGTCTACAATGGCAGTAAGCAGTAAGAAGTAAGCGTAAGCGGTAAGAATTAAACCAATCACAGTCGATTATGACAAAAATAATCAACTGTGGTTGGTCCATTTCTTACTGTTTACACTTACTGCTTATTACTTACTGCCATTGTAGACGACGCTTTATATTTCATGGCTGCTCCTAATTCTACTCCCTTGCTGTCTCATATAACGAATTCGGTCGCTTGCACTAGTGTACACTGAGTGCAAACGTACGCAGTGTAACGTATTCGATTGATGGCTCTCTTTCTGTGTAGTACACTCGTCGTATTTAGTAATGTTACACTATTATAATTTATATTTTATACCATGGTCGATGAGTGTCGCATTAAGATGGTATAGTGCTGATTTAGAAAATTGAACGAACTTACGGTGAAGTTCGATTGTAATTATGCTTTCTCGTCCGGATGGATATATGTAGTCGCGCTCCATCGCGCTTCCCCAACAGAATATTTAAAAGCAAAGAATAACGCGTCTTGTCGACCAACAAGCGCGCATCCCGTTGCCTTGACGACCCCGTCAATAACCCCTCTGCTCGCGCCAGCGCCGTCATTATTTAAACATTGCCAAATCTGATGAAGGAAACGGGAGGGTGGGAGTGTTCATCTGGACGAGAAAGCATAATTACAATCGAATTTCACCATAAGTTCGTTCAATTTTCTAATTATGCAAGTTCTCGTCCGGATGGATAGATGTAGATGTTTAACCCACAGATTTGGTAGAAGAGCACAGTAATGACAGACAAGAAGATTGTGCTGGGACCGTTAGAGGACAATATATGTAGAAAAAAGTGACCGTTATACAATTGAAACTTTACATAGTAAGAGTGGTGGATTGGAAAAGAGAATTCGAAACAATCGGTCTATTATAAAAACGAGCAAACACGTCGGAGGATTTATTCCAACCGGCCGTATGACGAATCTCGTCCATATTAATGCTTCTGCTGGCGGCAAGCGAAGTAGAGGCATGGCGCGTAGAATGCGCCGAAAAAATTGAAACGTCTATATCTGACGCTTCCAGTACGGACTTAACCCACCGACCTAATGCCTGAGAAGAGACCGAGAAATAAGGTTTACAATATGAGATAAAAAATGCGTCACAATTAAGACGACGAAAGACCGCGGTACGCTCCAGATAAAGATTTATAAGAGAAAAAAGACAGAGTTGCGGCTTCTCTAAGAACAGATATTAAGGACCCAATAAAACTGGCAAAAAATCGGATCGTGCAAGAACTCGTGCGCAACATTGAGATGGTTCGTTGTAAGAGTCTTTCACGTTTATCCCGTGGAATTGAGACAGAAAAACTCTGCGTGTCAAACACAAATCCCAGGAAGCGGCAAGTTTGTGTTGGTAAACACTCTTACGGTTGTTAATGACAAAGTCTAACGACGACAAGAGACGCAGAGTTACGGTCACATTTGTTTGAGTTACGGTACACTGTTGATAAGAGTGTCTCATGAGGAGAAAATCGTCCAGGTACACCACGGAGAAAAGACCTTGCTCGCGAAGAGAGTGCACCACAGGTTTCATAATCCGTGTGAAGAAGTAAGGAGCCGAGGCAAGTCCAAAAGGCAAAGCCGTAAATTGGAAGAGTTTATCCTGAAAACGAGAGCGTAAGTATTTTCGATCTTCAGGATGGATAGGTATGAGCAGATATGCATCCACCAAGTCAATGGAAGCGAGAAAGTCGTCTGGCAAGAGAAGGCGAACAGCCGTCTTCCAATCCTCAAGTTTGAAATGAGGTGCAAAAATAAACTTATTAAAACGCTTTAAATTAAGAATAAATCGCCAGCCTCCTGATGACTTTTCTATTACAAAGAAGGAGGATAAAAATTGACCTGAACAGTCATCAGAGACTGATTCGATTGCACCGCTTAGACAGAGGCGAGCAATTTCCCGGTGACAAACCTCCTGTTCTTTTCTGGACAAGCATACCACGGGCTCTCTCTCCTGACAAGGCGGCTGGTGGATGAAAGGTAGTCGATACCCGGAGAGTGCTTGTAGGATCTCCGGGTCAGAGGTAATATCATGCCACCTAGAGAGAAGAAATGTCAGCCTACCGGCTGTAGGTACTTGACTGTCCACTAACGTCTCCTCGATCGAGATCGGGAGCGCACTGCTGTCCGACGAATGTAATGCTCCTGCTCTCCGCGTCGTCGAGGCTTGTGGATATGCAAGGGCTCGGAAGTTTCCTGCTTTGGAGGTAGAAGCTGAGCGTAGTGGCTGTTTCATGGGTTGAAACACTCGATTAGCCGGGACTAGTGGCGTGCGAACGAAGTCCTTGCTCGAACGCTCCAAGGAAGGAGCTTTCTTCAGTTCTTCGCCAAAAGCCGTGCCAAAAAGGAGATCGTCTGGAGGGAGAGAGTCTGCTATGTTCTTGACGAGCAGATTAAGAATAGGTAAAATTTGGATACGCCGGGACAGCGAAAGACGATAAAAGAGATCGGCTAAGATCTTTGCTCCCTCCGTGATCTTCAATACTGCAGCGTCCAGCTGCACGTACACACCTGTGTCTCGCTGGACTGGCCCTTCCTGACTCGCAGGCGCTGCCACACAAGAGACATCCGGGACAGGGTCTACCGGGATGGACTCAGTCTCCGGCACCAAAAAATGTTTCAATCGTGGTTCAGCGGGAAATTTCGGAGACGTCGGACGACTTGGCGATGAGGACAGAGGCGACGGAACAGGAGAACGCCGGGGCATCTTATCCTCTTTGCGCTCTAATATGTCGATTAGGCGCGCTAGCTTGTCCTCCAGGCCCGCTAAACGATCCCGGGAAGGAGAAATCTTACGCTTTCTAGATTTGTGCGAAGATTTACCCATATTTAGAAAGATGCACTACACGACACTACTTGAACGGTCCAAAACCTGTTGAGGGAAGGAGCAACAGAAACACAATGACGGCGCTGGCGCGAGCAGAGGCGTTGTTAACGGGGTCGTCAAGGCAACAGGATGCGCGCTTGTTGGTCGACAAGACGCGTTATTCTTTACTTTTAAATATTCTGTTGGGGAAGCGCGACGGAGCGCGACTACATATATCCATCCGGACGAGAACTTGCATAATTTATATTCAGGCATATAAGAAAACTGGACGAGAGCAAAGTATTCTACACTGTAAATTTTGACAGTGTAGTTTGCTATAACCTGTGACAAGTAACAGGAATTACAAATAATGAATCATAACCTATTTATATTTTGAAACGAAA